TTGGAAGCAGCTGTATCACACACAGTCAGAAGCTTTCTACTTTATGAAGTCCGTTTGGGACATAAAACTCTGAAATTTATTTGGACAAATCCTATCATCAACACATGAACACACTCTCTGATGCTGACATTTGCCTACTATAAAGTTCAAAATATACATAGGTTACACTTGATATCTAAGGCTGCATCTGTGCAGGGGAGGAAGTACATGTTGATCCCCTATGATCTGCAGTTTTTTTCAAACTAGGTCCCTGATACTTTCTGTGGGTGAAATCACTGTAACTGTCTTGATCAGTGGTCCCCAACCTTAACTCCCAGAAATCCTGGCCAGCAGAGGTGGTGGTGAAGGCTTCTGGGAGTTGTAGTCTGAGAACATCTGGAGGCCCAAGGTTGGGGACCACTGGTCTAGATGACAAAGCTGTGTTTGCATGGAACTCCAGCAGCACAAGCAAAGCTGCCTTTGATCTGATGAGCTGCTAGTTCATAATTTCTACCTCTTCCCTCCCCCCCAATTATTTTTTCTTAAATGATCTAGTGATGGCCCATTGCAGTGCTGACAACAAGACTGAAGACAACAAGAGTGCCCCTTTGCCTTTGGATCAGGTAATCCCACACATAGGAAATAAGGGAAAAACTCCAGCAGCACAAGCAAAGCTGCCTTTGATCTGATGAGCTGCTAGTTCATAATTTCTACCTCTTCCCTCCCCCCCAATTATTTTTTCTTAAATGATCTAGTGATGGCCCATTGCAGTGCTGACAACAAGACTGAAGACAACAAGAGTGCCCCTTTGCCTTTGGATCAGGTAATCCCACACATAGGAAATAAGGGAAAAATGAGGCCAGCCTGTCAGATCAAATTTAAATCACTCCAGACAGCTGAACAACAACAACAAAAAAAGACAATTTCCCACTAAAAAAAGACAAGTCCCCATGAGGCTTCCCTACACTGAGCTTTGCATCAAGTAGTAGTTGTTTTTTAATTTGATTTTGTTTGTGCTTCATCTAGTGCAAATTGTGGGATAAGTGGCCAATGGAGTTGCCCCCTAAGTATATATATATAGCTTATGGCTCCTTTAGGGAAGAAATAGAAGTTTTGTTTGGGGAGTTCTATCAGAAACGGACAGCTAATTTATATTCATATGGCAATGGACCACTGACAGTGCTAAACTGATGTCCTGTTGTGGTGTTTTGCTATGATGTTGGATGGGATGGGGGGCCAATAATCCCACAAAATGATACTCATGGGTGGTTTGTCTGCCAGGGGATTGGTGTTTAGCCTCTTCAGGTGAAGATTTACATTTTCCCCAAAGCAGGAATGTGGATTACAAGCCTGCTGGCATGATTTGCCTTCCCATTGGATCTGCTTGCCTCTTCTCCTTAGCTTCACACTCTCCCCTTGTCCTCATCCCTTTGCTATGTAGACGATTTTCCTTGATCTCACTTAGGTATAGGGAGGGACCGTTAATCCTTCGCAGGTATGCAATCCTGATGAACATGCCAGCCCACATAGCCATTAGGCCATGGAGGGAGCTCCTATTTATGTAAATGGAACATGTACCCCCTCCCCATACATAATTGCAGCAGGGTGAAACATGCATTGCTTGAATCTCAATGAGCAGAGCAAAGAGCATTGCTTTTCTCATCTGCTGTCCGGCTTAGAAATCATCTCTACCCTGATTAGGATTTACATGGATGAAGTTGGGGAAAGTGCATGGATGTTGTGGGTGTGTATGAGACAGAAATGGTGGAGAAGAAAAAAAGAATGAAGGAGAGAAATACATCTGTGTGGTTAATGACAGTGAGGGGGGAAAAAGAGGGAGTAGAGAATGGCTTTGTTCCTCCAACCAGGTCCTTTGTCTGCAAGGGCTCAAAGATTCACCTTGTCACTACCTGCCACAGTCCTCACGGCCCTCATCTGTTGTTTAGAGCTAAAGGCCCCCTAACACAATTCAATTGACAATTACTTAAAAGGTGTATCCCCTTTTCTTGGATGCTAAATGACAACTGTTAAGGTGACCAAAAAACAGCTGCAAAAAAACACCCCTTTGCCCACAGCATGATCAGCAAGGTCACTTCCGAAGAAATAAAACAGTGGGAAACCTATGAGGTTGCATGATGTGGCTTTTTTAGTAGAGAGTGGTTGGTAAATTCTCAGAAGTAATAGTGGAAAGTAAGAGACCTGGTGATGTCACTTAAACTTAGCATTATTTCTTGAACAAGAAACTTGGTATATATAAATGGGTTCCTTCCACTCCTTTACAGCACACCTTAGAAGTAAGTAGCAACATTATCATTTTCTCTCTCATTCAACTATTATTGCAATCTGTCTCTAAAAGTAATTTTTAGTATAGAAAATTATAAATATAAAATGCATTAATATTATACAAGTAGTGTAATATACTATTATCTGTCTTCAATGCTTAATTTTCCTATCCATCTCTTGAAGGTTAAAGACTGGGACTGAACTTTGTGCCTTTCTTTTGGAGCCATGAGTCCGCTGAAGAATTGGGCGAGATGCTTCCTTGCTTGGATGCTCTGCTGTTCTTGCCTTCCTCTTCTCTTCTTTGCAAGTGCTTTGCCCGTAAAGGAAGCAGATGCGCGTACTAACCACTCCTGCATACTCAGAAAAAACACCATTCAGATAACTTACATTAAGAATTGTACTTACAGCTTGGCCAAACAGGTAAAGCCATGAGTGTTTTCTCTCTGTAGTCCACTTTTCCTCTACAGTTTCTTCTTCCTGAAAGGATACTAATCTCTGCTAGTTTGGACTGTAGATGTGGATATATCTATTTTTTACAATATAATTCAATTTGCATTATGCTCAGTGAAAGCAGAATCTAGTAACATGTGTCAAGCTACAGTAACCTTATAGTGTTAAGTCACATAATTCATTATATAACAAATATACACTTCTACCTAAAGATCTTGGCAAACATGGTATTTAAAATGCCATGCCTTCTCTGATGTTCAAAATTAGTTGTCCTTTTCATATCAGGTGTTCTAGTAAACACAACATTTTGGAAACCTTTCCATAGTGATTTTTTTCATTCACCATCTCAGCATTTTAAGGATATCTTTCTTGTACTGTTTTCTATATTTCTGCGTACTGTGCACTCAGAGTCCTGGGTCTGCCCTAAAATAGAACTTAGTAAAACAAACAAAAGCAAAAACAAAAACAAGAACTTTTTCCTTCTGCTGTACACTAATCCTGCCTCTCTTTACAGGCAAGCTTTTTTGATCAGGACACAGACAACAGGCTAATTGATCAGTACCTGTACGCTAACATCCAGGTGAGCTTTCCACAACTAATTCCATATGACCGAATTTAAAAAGAACACCTATAACATTTCTTGTTCGCTTTGTCTTCAGTCCGCATAATTTCATTATCTTGTTTTGCAGGAGAAGGATCACTGCTACCTAATGAAAAGAGTAATGGAAATTGTGGTGTCAGATGTGCTTTTTGAACTAAAGTCCTCTCCTGAACGATATTCCAATGTCCAGGAAGTGGCAAATGTTTTGGCCCATCTGAATGCGAAATTGAATGGCTGTGTAAGTTTCAAATATAGCTCTCACTCTGTTTCCCATCTCATGTCCATGACTTTCTTGAATTCTCACCTATTCTTCTGGTCTTGGTTTTTTTTTTTGGTTTGGTTTCCCTATTCTTGAAGAGTTTCCAACTTGTAAATATGATGGATATCTGTCAGTTTGTATATGTAAAAACAAAGTAACAGATCAATGAGATTGATACAAAAAGAGGAAACCTCAAATCAGAACATCCAAGCTTTCTTAAGCAAAGAGAAAGTCAAGAGAAAGGTGTAAAAGGAAAACCACATTGTTACATATTGCTTCTTCTGTTTCAGAAACCATTGGGAGACAGAGAACAAATTGAAAGCAATCTGAAACAAATGAAGGACAAATTAGATAAGGTACGTTGATTTTTAATATCAATGATAGTGACAACAGTTGCCCTACCTTAAATTTGCCCAGTCTTCTTTCCTCACAATTGAGAGCAGACTGAAATGCTTAGAAAACATCCTTCATGCCTATACATTCTTAGAAATGACAGTACATGTGTGTTTGGAACATAAGATAGAGGAGGGGTGGTCAGATATTTGACTGTGATTTGCATCCCCCCCCATCTCTGTATCCCCCAACTGGGGATGTGTGCAGATTAGTAGCAAAGGGCAGACATGCACTTAGTAGAATTAAGCAACAGAATGCTTCTGAGTGGATGGTCCTGGAGTCGAACTAGACAATACAGCTGCAATACAGAAGCAGATGTATAAATGTCCATAATATAGAAAAAGCTTTCCTCACCCCTACATGTTGCAAATTAGCTTTCCTTTGTTTTTGACTAACCTTTTGGACATAAACAAGGGCTTCAGTTGCATGTCTGACTACTCAAGCACAGAGCTTTGAAGGACTTGCAACATTGGAAGAAGAAGGTACTGTGAACTTTCATTGCAAAGTTGACATTTTGTCCAGCTCGATCCCCAGGACCATAATTTATTTTAAGCATCAGAACATAAGTCATATCACACAAAATGAGCACGCACACACTCCTCAGCGTTTTGTGTTTCAACAGCCCAATTTAGAAGGGTTATGCCGTGATTAAACAATGTTTTGTGTGCTATTGTTAAAGAGTTTGGAATCAGAAACACTTTCAGATCTATCACAGCACATCCTAGGGTGTGATCCACTTACATCTATATATGCACCCTTATTATAATTCTGCCTGTTCGTTTACTGTTCTTGCCACTGCGAAAGACTAACATGGTTAGCAAAACTGGTATCTTTCATTTTACTGAAGAACTTGTGTGTGGTTCCCCCCCCCCAATACTATAGCTGGGAGAGAATGGGAAAAACAAAGCAGTTGGTGAGCTGGATTTGCTGTTCGACTACTTGGAAGATGCCTGTACCACACCACTAAAGACCAGCAAGCAGAAGATGAAGAAGATGAACTAAATAGACTGCCAGGTCTGCTGATTGCTTTCAGACAATGAGAAACTGAATGGGTTTGTTTGGGTGTTTGCATACACTCATGGGGAACCCAACCAGAGAATAGCAATATTATTTGATTGTTGGTTCATGTTTATAATGCCTAAAATGTATATAGACTTTATTTAATTTAATTAGTATTTATCTGAATAGGTGAGAGGCTTATTGGAACATTGCCAAAGTATGTTTGTTTAGGACTCTCTGGTCAGTCTGAGAGAGAAAAAAATTACTTGAAAGTAAAGGGGTCATTTCATGGATGTGGCAACTCTATGGGGCCTGTCCATAAAATCAGTCATACCTCAAGAGCGATGGGGGAGGGCAAAAAACTAAAATAATAAAAAGAAGGGATTTAGTAATAGGAAATACTTGGAAAAAAAGGAATGGGAAAAACTGATGATAAGAAAAACCTGATGTGATGGAAATTTAGCGATCTAGTGATGGAAAAAAATTGTAGCAAATCTTTTGCTCCCTTTGCTCTTTGCTCCTTGCTGTTCTGTTTACTTCCCAGGCATTTTATTTTATAAAACATTTGGTAAATGTTACTATTTAATACTAATTTATATAAAATTATATTTTTATATAAAGGACATAATTTATCTGTGTGAAAAGATGTTTCTAGTAATGTCATAGGTTGTGTTTATGATTGACTTACAGCTGTTTTCCTAAAGTACAGATGCATTATCTTAATTGGTAATGGTATCTTAATTGGTAATGGTATTTATTATAAGAAATATGTATTGATGAAAAATATTTCATGTATGTATGTATTCATTAAAAGTAACAGTAACAGAACAAACTCAACAACAGATTTGTTCAGCTTCTGAAAATTCAAGATAGGTATAAAAGCCATATGGGACAACCTGATAGATTAGTGGTATGATTTTCAGAGCAGCAGTAAAGTCTCCAGAGCTCTGAAAGAAACCTTTGTTTCTCTCATTTTATTATGTATTATTATGTATTTACTGCACTCTATTGTTTCTCAAAATTATAAAGTATAAAAAGTGGAGAGCATCCAAACAGAATCCACACAGGAGAGGCAAATATATATACTGTCTATATGAACAGGCTGAAATGTGTCAGGTTCTTGCAGCAATAAACATTGTTTTACTTCACTTTGAAATGTGTTTGTCCTCCTGTACTTGGGCTCTCAGTTATTAGAATTGCACATAGAGCAAAAGGAAGGATAGAAGCTTGAAGACCAGCAATGAAGGTGTGGTTTGCAACAGGTGCAGAAGCATCAACAGCTCATGGTGCAGGTCTAAGAGGGTGCCTGACCCCAACATTTCAGGGTGTGGCTGCCCCACTGCTCAAACCTTGGATCACATGCCTGAGGAGAAGGCTGTGAGGGGAAAAAGGGTGACATGTAGGACATTCCTTCTTCTCTATGATATCATACGGGTGGTCTGTAGGCAAGGAAACCTTGAGGAGTGTGTGTAAACTCTGGGGCTTCTGACAGTGGGGTGAAAGAGAGGAGGAGGGAGGAGAGAACCTCTTGCCTTGGCAGCCTTATTCTGTCCAGGCAGATCTGAGAAACACTCAGGGTGACCTGAGAAACAGTGCGGTGCAGGAAATAGAGTACCAGACTAGTACTTAGAAGACCTAGGTTCAAATCCATACTCAGCCATAAAAACTCACCCCAGTTTCCAAAGGAGTATTTTAAAGATTGTTGAATGGCCTATCCAGGGAGAATTTTGATTTGAACACATAAACACACACATTGCCTGAGTGCCAGCATTGCCTGTGCCAAAATGGCACAATTTGTTCAAAACAGGCTTGGATGAGGGCTGCTAGCTCAGCAGAAAGGTGGAAGGGTTAGCATGAGGAACCCTCTGTCTGGGATGGAAAGGAATTAAACAAGAATCTCTTTTGTTCTCAAATAGATTGAGTAGATATTGGCTGGGGGGGACGGGGTAAAAATCTAATAACTAACTAACTAACTAACTAACTAACTAACTAACTAACTAACTAACTAACTAACTAACTAACTAACTAACTAACTAACTAACTAACTAACTAACTAACTAACTAACTAACTAACTAACTAACTAACTAACTAACTAACTAACTAACTAACTAACTAACTAACTAACTAACTAACTAACTAACTAACTAACTAACTAACTAACTAACTAACTAACTAACTAACTAACTAACTAACTAACTAACTAACTAACTAACTAACTAAATAAATAAATAAATAAATAAATAAATAAATAAATGCTATTCTCCAGTGCATCTCTGGGATTCAACTATTCTTTGCAACTGCAGCCAGAATGAAGAGCTGGATGCCCATTGATAGAAGAAAAGTTCATAGTTTATTGCATACAAATACAAATGTTCTAGCATGTACTGTACAAGAGACTGGGGCAGGTGGGGTGGGGAGAGATGGCACAAATTGTATTGTAAGTGGAGCAACACTTCTGTTAAATTTTAGCCCCATGCAATAACTTTACCACCTAGTAGCAGATAAGAAGAACTATATGCTTTTTTTTTAAAAGCATTGCCTGCTTCCTCTGGTTCACTCTATATTTTCAGCTATGCAGTTGTTTTGAACCCCGGAGACCAGCTAGAATATGGGTTCCCTGCTGATTCAACAGTTTGGCTATTTGAAAACAGTTGCCAAGGACGTTTATCCAACTGCATTAGAGACTGGAAGCAACATGTTTAAAAAAATCATTGCTCCTAGTTCTTCAAAATTTACAGCCTTAGTTTTGACATTTGTTATTGTAATCATTCAATATCAGTGAAGTTATTTTTAACTAATTAATAGTTCTTGCTTTTTCAGTTCATTACTAGTTATTTCTATAACTTCATCCTCATGAGGAGTGTGGTTTGGGTTCAGAAGAGTGTTTTCTTTTCACTCCAAACTTCCATGACTGCTTTGGTTTCATTGAAAGTAATACAGATTCTTCCAGTCTGAATTTCCACACCATAAGACATGACCTGTCCTATGACATGCCTTGTGCCCTCCCCGTTTTCTGCTCCCCATTTTCTGCTCTGTCCCCACCTCTTATCTCTTTCACTCCCACAGAGGACATCACATCTGATGTCAGAGGACTTTGAAATATGCACATCCCATGAGAACCGGGCTTGTCCGAGACAAAGAAACAGATGGAGCTGACACATCTGGAATGAACCAGGGATGACAGGAAATAGCTGCCAAACAAAGTAAAATAATCCTGAAGTAAAAGGGAAGTGGAAGAGACCAATTTGAGTCTCCAGCTACTTCATATAGATTCTCCTTAAAAAACTTTAATGATTAGCTTTCTTAATGATGTAATGTAAGAGGTTAGCATGAATGCTGATGTTCTCAAACTCTAGATTTCGTTTAAAAGCCCAGTTTAATTTTATTCATTTATTTATTTAAAATATTCTTACCACACCTTTCTCCTAAGAAAGGACCTGAAAGTACAGTATTAAAGCTAAAAACAATGAATTATTCAAATATTAAATGAATTAATAACATAATATAGGTAAAGCATTAGTGAAATATATTTAGAATGAACAAAATACAAACCATCTAATTTTAAAACCTCTCCTAGAAAGTCAGTCACTAGGGAAAAGCCTGCCTGAAGAGGTATTTAAGTTTAAGGTGAATAATTGTGAAGATTGTGAAGACTGATTTCTTCATGAAATACTAAAGCAGATGTTGAAACTACCTTGAAAACAATGCAATAAAAACTAGACTAAGAATTTATGAAGGACAAATCCTGCCAGACTCATCTTATTTATGTTTTTGGATTGAGTAACTCCCTGATATCAGTTGGTGGATGGTAGGGATCATAAGCTGAATATGAGCCAGGAGTTCAATATAGCTGCAAAAAAGGCAAATGCTAATTTGGGCTGTATTAGAAGAAGTGTAGTCTCCAACTCTTGTGAAGTACTAATTCCCTTCTATTTGGCACTGATCAGGCCTCGTCTTGAGTACTGTGTCTAGTTTTGAACACTACACTTTAAGAAGGATGTAGAGCAACTGGAAAAAGTACAGAGGAGGGCAACAAGAAAAATCAGAACTGGAAACCAAGCCCTATGAGGGACAAAAAGAACGGGGCATGTTTAAGGTCAAGAAAAGACATCCAAGGAAAGATCTAAATGCACTCTTCAAGCACTTGAAAGCCTGTCATATAAAGGAAGGACAGGATCTGTTCTCAGTCATCCCAGAGCACAGGACACATAATAATGGGCTAACATTACAGGAAGCTAGGTTGAATATCCAGCTGAATATCAGGGCATCAGAACTGTATGATAATGGAACCAGTTACCTTGGGAGGTGGTGACTGCTCCAATGCTGGAAACGTTCAAGAAAAAGTTAAATAACGATCTGTCAAATATACTTTGATTTGGATTTCTTCATTGAGCAGGGGGTCGGACTCAATGGCCTTAAAGGCCCTTTCTATGATTCTGTGTCGATGAAAATAATGTAGGCAGATTTTCCAATAAGGGAAATAGTTCTCCTTGCCTGCTAATAATGACAAGGTCAAAGAGAACTAAGCACATCTCTTTGCTTCAGTATATCATTTTCAGCCCATGACTGTATCATTATGTCTAATATAAAATTTATGTTCTTGTCAATTGTAAGAGCTTAAGAAAACCCACCACTTCCTCCTTCTCTTTTCACTGAAAAGAACTATAAGCTGAAATAAGGAACCATACACCACCACTGGCAAACTGTCACATTACCTTGTCACCTCTGTGTTATGCTTTGGCATAAAATTAGTGGAGCCTTTTATCCTACTCAGAAAAGAAGTAACTTAAACTCTATAATTACAAGGAATGCCGCACTTGAAGAAATGACTTTGAAAGAATGTTTTGACAAGAGGAGAAACTGATTTTTCTTCCAAGCTCTAAAAATAAGGATAACATCCAGTTCCTTGTTATGTAAATTTGTGTAGTTAAACAGAAAAAAGTCTGCTTAGACAGCAAAAATTTGACAGGAGCTTCACAGGGATATGTGGAATTAGATGTTCGGTAAGCTGACAGCAGTACAGTACAATTACTATGCAATCCTAAATACGTCCACATTCATAATACTGATCTACATTTAGATCTTTATAAAGCATTCATGCCAATATTTAGGTCATAAATTTATCTACAGAAATTGGAAAAAGCCATGGGACAAGCAAGGAAAACAATGTACTTATTATTGTTTAACATATTTGATTCTGCATTGGAGATCTATTTTTGGGGTTCTAATTTTGCTTACAACAGAGGTATGTGCAACTAGATCATCCGCAATCTGACAGCAACATAGTATAATCATGGATTGTGCAAAAGCAAGATTCCAGCTGAAGGCAAAAATAATGGTTTTTGAATTGGCAATGTGGAAACTGAAACTGTTGATGATTTTCTATGCCTCTGATTTTCTCCCAAAAAATCCAGTTGTATCACACATGCTGATACAATATTTTTATTCTTTTCTTCTCTCTGGATGTTTTGGTGACACCTGATGCCTAAAGTATGTGTCCTGATATTATCTATTGTACAAAAGAGAACCCAAGCATGTATCTGTCATTGAGAGAGGTATCTCTGTGCAATGGTTGTCCTTAAAATTGGATGGATGGATGGATGGATGGATGGATGGATGGATGAAATGGCAGGCTCAAGTGAGTTCAAAAGACAGCTCGAAACTGACCCTTCTTTAATTTTATTGTGGTCTCAAGCTGACCAGTCCTAAGCGTGGAGTCAGTCCAAGCCTGTGAATTTTTGCTGGGATCTGAATGGTTTGTTGTACCGTCAATTTGCTTCTGACCCTAGAGTTGATTTAGAGCCGTCTAGTCAACTAGTGGTGCCTCAGAATTACAGGCACAAGGTGTTAGAACTGGCTCATTCGACTCCATTTTCAAATATGGTACTTCCAGATGAAGGCTGAGGTAGCTTGTGGATCAAGCAGGGTTTGCTGGTTCCTAAAATGCTTTGGATGGCTGCTTTCATCACAATCTGACTATGGATTAGGCTATTAGTGTACAATTACTCTAACTCATTCACAGAATTTTGCAGAGGTCCAAAGATTAAAAAATAAAAAAACTTTTTTAAAAAAATAATTTTTGGAAAAACCAAACACAATAAAAGGGATTATAATACAAGATCCAATTACCTGTACAAACATATGTGT